ATCGTGAGATGGCAGCTTCGTTAAACCAGAGTTTTCCACATTGAAGGTGGAGGCTACGGGTATCCGCTGGGAAAGTGTCTTAGTTGAATTATCAGTTTTATCACTGTCAGATTGGTAATTATCTTGAGGTTCTTGCTCAAGAGTGTCTGATAAAAGACTTAATTTTTCTGCCAAGAGTTTGTCTTGTGCCTTTAAATCTTTTATTTCAACTTTTAATTTATTAATTTCACTATAAAGATCTTGTAAGGTTAATTCTTTTTTCTTTTCCTTACTAAATCTTTCCATAGTTTTGTTAATACTAATTAAAGGTTTTTCTATTATAAGATGTTTGTTTTTTTCTGTTTTGACAAACAGATCCTTAAGATTTTTTATATATTTAGATTTTAATTGCGGTTCTTCAATTTTACTGATTAAGTCAATTAAAATTTGTTCTTCAGTTTGTTCTGTGATTACTCTTATTTTTTTACAACAATTGTCATTACATCCTAATTTAATATCAGGTTCGCTTGTCGTAGAAGGTGTAGAAGAGTCAAGGGAATTATCAGGATTGTCTGAGTTATCAGAGTTGTCTGAGTCTGATTCTTCTGGATTATGAAGTCTGAAGATTTTTAGGATTTCTTCAGTCTCTTCATTGGTTAGATTAAGTTTTTTAACCTCCTTTTTAATTGGGCAATCGGGACTTTTGTGACCCTTTTTCCCACAGTTATAACATGTTATAGTGTCTTTATTGGTGTTTAACCATTTAGACATTTTCCCTGTTTTCTTAGGTTTTGGTTTAATAGTCTTTTTGGATTTTTTATAAAATTGAGGTTTAGTGAGTAAATCTTTATTATTCTTATAATAAGATTTATGTTTTGAATATGACTTATGTTTTTTATGGGATTTGTGCTTAAGTTTTTTAGAGGTTGATGGTGCTACTGGAGGGAGACCATATTGTTCACAAAAATTCCCCATTTCATATTTGGCTTTCTTTTTATCGTTTTGTAATTGTTTACTGATCTTAAGATCAATACACATCCTAAGTCCTTCCTTTTGGATAGTACTAACAAGTTGGCCATAAGTCAGTGAATCATATTCTATGATCCCAGTATCTTTGCTAAGGGCTTCTCTGATTTTATGGGCAAATAGATTAGGTAAACCATTAACAAATTTTTCTTTCCAGAATGATTTATTACAGTCTGGGCGAAGCATAACTCTATTGATAAAAACATCTTTATACCATCTAAAGTCACTAAGTGTTGGGCACCTGAGGTTACTAAGCTGGTCATGAATCCTAGCTTCAATATTACTTGGTGTGCCAACAAAATGTTTGACAATGGTGAATATTAAAGTGTTTAAACCATCTGGTTTTGATCTGCCAAGTCTCTCATCAAAAATTGGAATGCCATCATCATCAAGAACAACAGCATTTCTAATATCATCCCTAGAATCTGGAGTAAGGTAATTGTCCCACCAACTCCTCAGTACTCCAGTAAATCCTGAGGTAACTAAGTCGACAATTTGGGGTTCAGGATCATTAAGGTTATTTACATAACTATTAATGACCATAGACATGTGATGAATTTTGTTGAGAATTTCTTGCTCACTTAATCCATCTATGTTCCATTCATAGAGCTTGTTTGATTGAACTGAAAATTGGTTAGAAATATTTTTTTCTTCAAATTGAATATCTGGGGGAGTGGGTTTGGAGTACCAATTTTTTGTAGAACTAGAAGGGAAAACCAGCTTATTGATTTTAGAAATAGGTTCACTTATACTTATGTCAGTGAACTGTTTTTTCAAGATTTTAATATCTTCCTCAGATGAAGATATGGAAGTTTCAGTTTCAGTTTCAGAATTTTTGTTAATTACAGTTACTTGAGAAGTTTGTGATGTTTCGGTTTGTGCATCTAATTTTTTAATTAACTGATCAATCTTTGCAATCCTAAGTTGATCTGGTATTCCTAATTTAGTCCTATCTTCTGGTAGGGTTACTAGAGGTTTTTCTAATTTCTTTGGGGAAATAGGTATTTTTTCAATTTTGTTTTCAATCTTATCTAATTGTTGGCCTAAAACAATTAAGCTTTGATTAGTAAAATTGTTTTGTTCAATTACTCTCTTCTGAAATTTATCTAAAGCCACTTGTTCTGTCGATGCCTTAGTATTTTCAGGAGGAGGGATCTTAAATGGTGAAGCCACGATTTGTTTGTCAGCAGAATTAAATGTAAAAGTTTGGGTTGGAGGATGACTAGAAGAGACAATTCCTGAATCCGTAGTTTTCCATTTATGTTTTGTTATTACTTTTACATCTTTGTGACAAGAGTCAAGGTAATCAAAGAATTCAATTTCAGATTCAATTTTGTGCATTGTTTTAATCCATTGAACTTGAATTTCTTTTCTTTGTTGTCCATTATATTGTTTAAAGAATTCTTTATTTCTAAGCTTATTCTTAACCATCCTATTTTTTAATTGAGCTATGTCTGGTAGAAATAAAGTACTAGGTTTTGTATTTATGACATAGAGTTGATGACTTAAATCCGGATTAGGCTTAAGACTTTCTAGATCAGAAGCAGTGGGTGATGGAGTAAAATCATCTTCCTTATCCCTTTCTTCTTCTTCCTTAAACCTAGAATATGTATTAATTAAAGGAGGTTTGTGAGTATAATGAGGTCTGCTAAGGTGTGGAGATGACTCATTATCTACTCCTTTCATTTTATATTGTTTTTCAAGTTGGTTAATCCTGAATTGCAGTTCTTTTGCAATTTCTCTATCTCTTTGGGATATAGTAGAACCAACATCTGATCTTCTTCCTTCATTAATCCTAATAGGTTCATTAAATCTACTGGACCTATGGGATTTAGCTGAATCGAAGGAGATCCTAACCATTCCATCAGAAAGTTGCTGGATAGTTTCTAGATTGGTAGATGTTGTTTCTTTGTCTTTATCATGGTTCTCATTAGTGACGAGCCATGATTCTGGAAGTTCAATGTCCTTCCATTGAAGTCTTTTGGGGACTTGGACATTAGCCTCACTGGTACTAGGTTGGATTAACAGAGTACTTTCTTTAGGGCTTTTCTTTAATGCGTGTACATTCATGTTGGTAGTTATGCATTTGTAATAGACCCTATAGATTAAAGCTAAAGAAGCAGTTTCTTTTACTAAGTCTAAGATTTGTCCAGAGAGTTTGATTCCTAAGGTTAAGGCTTTAGGAGTATGCTGGCAATGTAGACTTAATGTAAAATCAGGGAAACAATTAAAATATACTGGTCCTTCATGAAGTCCAGCTTCCATTATTCCTAAAATGCCATTTTTATAGGTAATAAATCTTGCATCTCTTAGGGATAATAGAACTGCAGAATTCATGCCATCAGTAGTCAGGGGCTTTATAGCTACCTGAACTAATCCTAAATGAATAAAATTAAATCCTTCATTTCTGTGGATTTTCAATTCTTCTTTACTTAAGAGTTGAACTTGTTCTTCACTATTTTTTAATGCATGGACTTGTTCAATGGTTCGTACTTTTAATTTTTCACTAAAAGTTCTGGGGATCCAACTAGTTTTGTAAATTTCTTTATGTGGTACAGAAGGGATATTCCATCCTGTCCAATCTACATTTCTATTTTCACATTCATAGTTTTCTTCATTCACTATATTAGGTATAGTACTAGATGAAGATCTAGATGAACTAGCTGTGGAATTAGATCTGAATAATCTATTCATTTTTAAATTACAGATTGCTTTAAATTTTTAAAATTATTTTTAAGTGAAAACTACAACTGTAGTAAAACCACTAGGATCATACCCCCTATCATTCATTCCTCACTTTCTCACCTAGATCTCACAACTGCCCTATCCTCAGGGACTTATAAAGAGATAACGAGAGGTTTACAGACTCTTGGATAAACAAAGGTTGGGTGCCTTAGTTAAGTACACACTTAAAAATGATTTCTAGAATTCAAAACAATAAGAATTTTCAAATGAATCAGATAATTCAAATATAATTCAGCAGATAGATATCAAGACCGTCAAATGGCTCTGATACCAAAATAGAGCGGAAGCAGGAAGCAGAAATGAATGGGAAATTGAAATGTAAAATAAACAATAATAATTACACACAAGTATATTTACAATACTTACTGGACTAGCACTAAATGGGCTAGCCTACTAAGATTGATACAAGTGTGGGGAATAGTAGCATCTCATACTTGGAGCTTACAATATATATATATATATATATATATATATATATATTAGTCCTAGCATCAATAGACAAGAATGAAAGAAAACCCCATACCTTGATGTTCTTGAAAAGGCTAGGTTTTGATCTTCTTGAAGTTGAAATCCCCTTTGATCTTCTATTTTTCTCTTCCTTTAATCCTCTCTAAGGTCTCCTAGGGTTTTGAGTGTTGAAATGGGGCTAAAGGGGTTGTCCTTAAGTATTTATAGTGAAAGGAAAGTTGGCTATTCGTGACTTAAATTTTCAGATTTTTCGAAGACCTTCCGAAAGGTTGTTCGTCGACCTTCCGAAAGGTTTGCCTATTTGACAAACTATTTTCATTAACCTTCCGGAAGGTTTTGTCTACTGGATAATCATCTTCCTTATCCTTCTGGAAGGTTTGTCTTTCGGACAAACATTTTCATGCCTATTAGGCCAAATTTTCCAAAGACCTTCCAAAAGGTTTTGCCTACTGGTTAAATCTTTCACTTTAACCTTCCGAAAGGTTTTTCATCGACCTTCTAGAAGATTTTGTCTGTTTTTCTACAAAATCTCCCTTTTCATTTCCAATCCATTCCAAACCTTTCCAATTCCAACCCATGCTTCTTCAAAATGATTTTGTACATCAAACCTAGTTGGTATAAGTTATATTAAAACGATTTCATATATTTTCAAGCTAAATTAAGTTTTAACTACTATTTCCTGAATTTTTTCATATTAATATTTCAAAAGAATTAATAACTTGCTATATAAACCTACATGCATATATAAAGATAAAAGTGTGGGGTTGACAATTTCTACTTAGAAAGGATTGCTTAGGGAATCCATGGAAGATGCCCTTGGAGAAGGAGGTAATGTCAATACAATGGCCCAATTGAGCAATGCTAGGGCTGAAGGTGGAGGCTATTTGGGCGATGCCTGGAATGGTCTGAGCGACAATAGGGATGTTCTGGTGATGCCAGGAGCAGCACTAGGATGGTCAGTAATGCTAAAGATGCTCAGGCCAATGCTAGGAACTGTATTCGTAAAGAGCTGGGCAGAGCCCTTGGTGATGCTAGGGCAACATCGTTGGTAGGAGCAGGCAACTGGTGTAGGCAGGCTAGCGCTGGCATAGGTGCGAGTGCTAGGCGCTAGCACTGGCATTAGGCGTTGGTGAAAATCATAAAGAAATGACAAAACTTTCAATGGCCATGACTTTGTGCTTGGTTGTCTGTTTGAGGAAAATTTTATTTTGAATCTGGGTATTTTTTCGAGATCTACCACAATCAAACAACCTATGACAGTTTGGGCACCAACTTTCTCCAAAAAAAAATGCTAATGTTTCCCTGAATTTGAATTTTAACCACAATTTAGTGAAGAAGTAAAATTTACACGTGTCTGCTTTTCGTATTCCCCTCTTCGTGATATGGCGGATCATCTTCTGCTTGGTGGTTCATGGATTTAGTTGTGATTGCCATTGAAGGTAGGTAGACAGTTGGGGTGAGAATTAAATCATTTCTCATAGATGGTGCCAAACTGATGATGCACAAAATTGATTTTATGCACATTCCAATCAGTTGAGTGTGTGTTGTGAAACAATTAATGAAACAGTCAAAAATAAGAGACAAAGATTGGGTGGTTGGGTCAGGGTGACCTAACCCCTAAAGGCGGCAACGGTGGTTGTGGAACTCTATTAATGAGAGATTGCATGGTAGTAGGAGAGAGAGAAAGGGAGAGAGCAAGAGTATGATCAAAGTGAGGTGTGTAAGCTCTTCTCCAATGTGTAGAGGGGTTTACAATTTATAGGGACAGAGCCCTAGATGTGGTGGTGACGTGAAAGTCAAGCTACTACTTGATTTGGTAGGACAACTACAGTTAGGGATAGGCACTATCTTAGTGTAATGGCTATTCCGGTGATTGCTTTCCCACGTGCATTGACTCTTCTTAGACTCTTGGGCTTTAGATTGGATTGAGGCCATGAGCTAAGCCTTGCTTGCCTTTTGATGATTTGGGCTGAACTCAAGGATTAGGCTTAGGCCTGGTCTAGATTTGGGCTCGTTAAACATAACTAGCAATTGTAGAATCAAAACCATCTCTTCTACCAAAGGCAAAGCCAACATCTACAGTGTCACTCAAAAAATCAAGTTTCCATTTCATAGCTTGCCAATGAACCTTCTCAAGATTGGCCATTTAATGGCTAGCCGCACTAACTGCTTAAGAAATATTTGGACGATTGCAAACCATAGAATACATGATACTCCCAAGTGCACTAGAATAAGGAACCTATGACATAAACTACTTTTGATTCTCACTCTATGGTAATAAACCTACTGAATGTCTAAGCAAGCGGTAAGTGGAGTACTCACAGGCTACAAATTCGCCAAACTACTCAATTACTTTTTCAATATACTTCTTTTTGAGATAAATAATGATTAGACCTAAATAATGCGTTAATGAATTAGGTTTTAAAGTTAATTGTGTGCGTAAATTAGGTTAAAATGATTAGGTTATGAAGTATTGGGGTAATGCGTAAATTGGATATTTTACAGGGTTTCATGCGAAGATGTGAAAATTCAGGAGGATTAAAGTGTACAAGCTGAATAAGGAAGGGGAGGCAAGTGCAATTATCAAATTAATAAATCAAATAAAGAGGCTGCCAAGCATGGAGAAAACAAAGGATTGCCACCGTCTGGATGTTGGTGGTGGCGTCCGGACGGTCCTTAAACCGCCTTACTTCTCTCTCCTCTCCATATTGGTCCAATTAAGCTGCAAAATCACCCTATTGGCTGGCAAGGTGTCTGCCACCTTAAAAGCTCCTACCAGTGCCTATAAATAGCTTGCTTCAACCATTCTTTTGGGAGATTCCAGGAGAGTTCAGTTCAGTGCTAAAGGGAAGGAAAGAAAGAGAAAAAGGAGGAGGGATGCCCTTCCAAAATCACTTCTCAGCTAGAATTTCTTCTACTTCTGCATTTCTATTTATCCTTTCTACTTGGAGGGTCGAACCTCTTCCACTTTTGTGCCCTAGATAGTAATAAGATTGGCACTATTTTAACTATTCATCACGGAAGGATTTGTTTTGTATTTTGTTTCAATTGTAATGAGATTATATCATTACTTTTGCTCATCTATAGCAATGAGGCGTGAATAGGCTATTTATACTCTTTGATGAAGGGTGAATACATGAGTAATATTGTTTATGTTTTGGAAATGCCGATATTTTACCTATGTTTTATTGTTTATACCTCCCTTAATTGATGGATGGTTATATTTATAATATGCTCATGGTTATGAACACCGAGTAGGGCTTAATGCTATATACCAAAGTATCTATAATTATTTTGCACTTCATGCATGATATAGTGATGTACATAATTGGGCTTTATGTAACAGTCAGAAGATTGGTTATATATGGGTTAAATCTTGGCATAGCCAATGCTTTTGATTCAATGCATAAACCGGAACTCACCATAGAATCATCAACCCGCTGATTAAATAACTATAGTAAACCTTCTAGTTTAATAGGGTTATTTGATTGATGCATGGTATAAAGACCTTCTAGCTAACCTAAACAATTTTTGTGTTATGGTTCAATATACATCAAACATACCGGTTAACTTTCCAATAAAATGAGAGTTAATTGTTGTAAGGTGACATTTTTGTAAACAAACAATATAATATAAGTTGGATCCCCGAACTGAAGAGTAATTTTTTATCATTGTCTTTCAAAGTTTTAATTAAGTATTTATTTTATCGTTCTAAGCTAATACCAAAGGCTATTCGATTGCACACTACATTCACGATAATTTTACCATTTATGTTTTGAATCTCGACAGTTAACTCCCTGTGGGTTCGACCTCAGACTAAAACTAAGAAATGCTATAATTTAACCACTTATACTTGGGTGTATGACGTAATTCAAGTCGGATCAAGCTTTTTGGCACCATTGTTGAGCAGTTACGGTTATTTCAAAACAAATAGGGAAGTTGTCTAGTTTTTATTATATGTATATGCATTGTTTGTTGTATTTTCATTGTTTTTGTCTGTTAAGTCATTAGTGGGATCTGTAAATCAGTCTAGTTCTTTGTCTTCATCATCCTCATCGTCACAAGCATCATTCGAGTAAAGCATGGCTAATAAAAATCAAAGGGAACAAGAGGTAGCTCAAAATGTCCGACCTTTAAGAGAATACTTGCACCCCACGCACACTAGTGTCCCGTCATGTTTTGTTTTTGCCACTAATGCTCCAAATTTCGAAATTAAGGTGGGGACAATACAAATTTTACCATAGTTTCTTGGTCTAGAGTCTGAAAACCCGTATTTGCATATGAATGAATTTGAGGAATAATGTGGTGCTTTGCAAGATAATTCTAAGATGGCCCGGTTGAAACTTTTTCCTATTCTCTTTGAAGGATAAGGCTAAATACTCGCTAAATTCTTTAAAAGCCCAATCTATTCCAAGTTGTCAAGTTTTACAAACCGATATTTTTTAAAAAAAAATTTCCTATGCATCGCACTAATGCATTGAGATGTCCAATCATGACTTTTCTGTAAAAGAAGGAGAAATTTTTTATCAAAGTTGGGAGAGATTTAAGGATCTTCTCCAAGCTTGCCCACATCATACATTTGAAAGTTGAACTCTAGTTGGTTTCTTCTATGATATCCCCCCATCTGTACAATGTTAGTTTGTTGAAATGATGGCCAAGCGAAAATTTATGAGTAAAAGTCCCAAGGAGGCATTTGAATTTTTTGACACCATTTCTGAGAGTTCCCAAATGTGGGACTTGGCCTCTCCAAATATTGCCAAAATCAAGCCATCTTCATCCCAAGGAGGGAAATATGTGTTAAAAGAAGATGATATCCTAAGGAGCTAGAATGGCAACCTGGTTCCAAAAACTTGAAGCCCTAGAAAAGAAAAATACCAAGAAAGTTTCTATTGTGTCTTCCACTGAGCAGTCATATGGAATCTGTGCATTGTTAGGACATTCCACAGGGGAATGTCCCAGTATTCTAACATTCAAAGAGGTCTTGATGGAACAAACTAATGCCATTTAAAATTTTAAAAAGCCTTATTCCAATTCCTATTCTAACACTTATAACCAAAGGTGGTGAAATCAATTGGAAAAATACACATGTGAGTCAGCCACCATGCCCTCTTTCACCACAACCACAGACTCAGTAGCCTTACCAACCCCACATAAGAGGAGTTTTGAGGATACCATGAATTAGTTCATTCAGAGTCAAATGAGTTTCAATACTCAAACCACCCATGCATTTAATAATTTCAAAGATCAAACTTTATAGAATATTGAGGATATCAAGAGCCATTTACCCAAATTGATACAGTTTTTTAGCACAACAGAGAGGGGAAAATTCCCATCTCAATCTAAACCTCCTCAGAGTCAAAATCAGGCTAATGTTGTGTCATTCGCACCTTCTTCAAGTCAAGTGCAAACAATTACCACACTGAGAAGTGGTAAGGTGATTGACAAGACCATTAAAGCCAAAACTCTTAAGCCAATAGCTTAGTCAATCCCTGTAAATGAACCAATTGAGCCTGAACCTGTAATCAGAAAGGAACCAGAATTGCCAAAAGAAAAAGAATATTCAAGTCCTATTCTGTTACCTTTTCATCAAAGGGTCAAGAAGCCTCAATCACCGATCAATCATGCTGAAATCTTTGAGTTGTTTAAGCAAGTAAAGATTAACATCCCCCTGTTGGATGCAATTAAGCAAGTCCCATCATCTGTCAAGTTTTTAAAAGACCTTTGCACAGTGAAAAGAAGGATCAATGTACAAAAAAGAACATTTAAACTGAATAGGCTAGTGCCATCATTCAGTACAAGGCCACTCTCAAGTACAAATATCCTGAGAGTCCTGCAGTTTCATGCATAATTGAAAATTTCCAGATTGATCAAGCCTTGCTTGATCTTGGAGCCAATGTTAATTTGCTTCCATATTCAGTCTATGACCAATAAGGATTGGGTGAGTTAAAACCCACCAATGTGACATTGCAATTGGCAAGTAATTCTGTAAAAATTTCATGTGCAGTTGTGGAGGAAGTACTTGCTCAAGTTGATAAATTCTATGTCTCAATGAATTTCATTGTTTTGGAAACACAACAAGTTTTGGATATATCTACACAAATCCTTATCATT